TCTTATCACTTTATCGTCCGGTCGTGGTTGAGGCTGCCACTCAGTAAGGACTGGCTTAGTCGCGCGCGCATTTGCTCCCAGTACCGGCTAAATTTTCGCTATTCATTGTGTTGTGCTTATTCCTTTAAAAATAATAATAAATAATAATATAATTATTATAATTATAATTCATAAGGATATGGGGAGGTCAGCATACAGGAGGTCAGCTACTAACAAAACAGTAAAGAAGCGAAAACCGTCGATAGCTAAAAGTCGATTAATAGGCTATCGGTCGATAAGCATTGGCAATCGAAAAGCCGATTAATAGGCTAGCGATCGATAAACATTGGCAATCGAAAAGCCGATAAATAGGCTAGCGGTCGATAAAGTGTTATCATTTCGAATCTCTAGGGCTGATCACGAATTCGCAAACCGGTTTGCAAAGCGTTCGATTGTCATCAGTTTTTGAGAAACTTAAAAAATTTCGCTATCTTAGCCATAAGAACTGGGCGAATGATTTTAAGGTGCGAAGTTCCTGTAGACTGTCCTAAATCTGGTGACATAATTTTTTATAACATTGTCAACATTTGAACATGTTTGAAGTGTTCGAAAAGAATACTTTCATCGTACAAGCTTCATCGGAAATTGTTCAATTTATTTTGAAAGTGAAGAAAAAAAGGGTCCGAACGTAGATATTGTTTTCGATTGCACAGTAAAATATTTTTGCTTGTTACGAACTGTTGCCATTGACTCTCAGAAAATCCATGATTTATAGATATAGCTATTTATTAAAAATTACAGTAATTTGTTTTTCTGTCGATGATTTCAATAGGTCGCGAATATTGTAGCAGTAATCGCCAATTCTTCCAATGTTTTCTCTATTTTGTAACTCGCTCATTTTTGTTATAAATAAACTACGGATTTTTAATTCAACAACGATTAAACATTGAAGAATTTGTATTTTGCATAATGATCAGCCGTCGTCTAGTTATAAATGCATAAAACACGAATTCCAGTTAGCAGATATTTGTTCTGACAAGCTCGATGTTTTTTGACAGTAAATGCTACAATAAATCATAATAATACAGTGAACCAAACGATTGTTGGCGCTGAAGCTCATTTGGCACAGTTCGTTTCGTGTGAAAGTATTTCGCTTTTCGAATCAGAAACGAGACCTGTGTTATAATTTTTATTGTCGGTTTCTGAAAGAAGAAAACGACACTATGGCGTGGCATAATTATTGTTTATAGCTTAAATAAAATTGAAACATAAAGATACTATTAATAAATATATTAAACATACAGAAGATCAGATATTATTTCTAAACATTTCTCGGACATAGCAAACGCCGTTTCTCAAAAATAATTATGCTTTGTCTCGAATTCTCAATTTTTTCAATAAACGAAGAAATATCTGAAAAACTGCATACGTTATAGACGTCCCGATTTCTTTAAACCTTGCTCGAACATGTTCATATATTTAAAATGTTATAAAAAATTTGTCAATCGTTCTACGTAAGATCCATTCGAATAGCTTTTACTTTTAGCACAAATTCTGTAGCACAAGTTCTGAAGTTAAAATTCTTATCAAAATTTTTCTTACAAAGTGAGAGTGATAGACATAAACGCATGAACAGTGTTATTACAATTAAGGGTATAATTATAACTGAGAAATATTAGTTATAACGATTCAGCAGAAACACAATGACCAGAATGTGTAGCAACGGTTAAGGTTTTCAGGTTTCACGCGGGGTTGTAATAATTTCACGGAACGATGTCAAATAGGACGTGCACATGCTTATAAAAACTTTTTTCAGAGTTTTTTCCTGTCCTTGTTCACCGTACAAGCGTGTCCCCCGTTTCATGGAACACCCCGTATATACCGTCTTCTACTGTCTAATCTACTCTAATGACCGTGCAAATACGTTTCTGGACACATCAGGCGAGTATAACAATACGAACGTAGAACGGCCACATCAAATAGATCCGATTATTTAGAGAGCACACAGTAATTTTGTTTCGCCCCCCTCCCGTCTTAGCGTCTAGCACCCGACAGAAATCTATTTTCTCGATTAATTTTCCGATTAGCGATGCGCGAGTTTCGTCGTACACGGGCGCCAATTCTTTCTCGAAAATCATTGGAACTCCGGTAAAATTCTTCTGTGCATTTCTTCAGCAATTCTTCATACAGAAAATGCATTGAATTCGTCATTCTATCGAAAATGGAACGATCTTCTCTAAAATTGGCAGCTTTCTTTAGAACGGTCCGGAAATAACATTAGAATTGTCAACGCTCTTGTTCCTGGCCTAATTTCATCATAGTTTAATGAGGACAGCCTTTCTTCCGAAAGAACAAGACGGGAGTCATGGCATTTCTTAATTAAGACGCAGAAAATTAAATTGAAAAGAAACTTCGTTTTAAAAGACTTCACGCGCTATTACAGTTTTATGAGCATAACTTGCAAGATAACTTTATTAATAACAACAAAAATATATTAATTCACTGTACACTCGAGTGAGACGATGCAAAGACGACTAAAATATTCTCACTGTTTTCCTAGTCTCGCGAGAAGCATGCATTATTTCGAAAATAATTAACCACCGGATGGCAGAAGAGTTTGGGTCCGTTTGGACCCGGAATTACAAACGTTTCATTTCAAACTTGCATCATTCAGGTCGAATCAGTTACTTGTACTTTTGACAGATCTAGTCCTGACTATCGTAAAATTATCAGAAACATTCGCACAATACTCAAAATGTCTTCTCTTCAAGAAAACAATGTTCACATTCGAAAGGCTGAACTCTTTACATTCGAAAAGGTTCCTTTTCAATTGTATGACGAGCCCAATGCGCATCTTTTTTATTCGAGAACAAAACGATCGAAATACTCGCCGATAAAATCGGAGGGCAAAAGGACGGACTGTACGACGGAAATCGTCGCGTTTTCCCGGTGACTTTTAGGCTGAGAACCGCGTCGACGGCGACGCTTTGTGCAGCGAATCGTTCTCGACGAGCCGAGACTTTTCACCATGGTCGGTGTTTCTAGGAATACAAAGAATTCAGTGACGCGGAAAATATAATGCCGCTGGCGACCAGCGACTTTCGTAATCCAATCTGCCAGGAGATGAGGGCGATGCGATCCGGGATGCTGATGGAGCCACCCCCGCAGACGATCTTCACCGAGACGAAGACGTCGCCGGCCCAACCGTTGGAGATCACCGGCTACGGGCGAGGATACAACGAGCAAGGAAGCATGGACAGCTCTGATACGTACGCCAGCTGTCAAACGCATCCGTCTCAGTCGCAGGTATTGGAATTGATATCTCGAAGGAAATTGGCTTCCTCGACGGGCCTCCGGTTAACTTTCAGCGCCCGCGTTGTACCCGATACGCGTCCGAGTTCGGCAGTAATTGATCTTTTCGAGGTCACTCTTTCGATCGGTTCACGAATCTTTCGAATCTTTCGTGCCAGTCTAAACGCTGTATTATGGACGAGAGACACCCAAAGACGGTAAAATAACTCGTTTCGTAAATGTCCTTAAAATTGAAAAAATTTGTACGTAAAGGTTGTCCTAAAATTATGTTACTTCCCGGAAATGAGAGGTTTCTGAGGTCATTTGAAGTAACTTTTCCCTTAGCGAAAATGCAATACGCGGCTTGGTTTACGAGTTATTAAAAGTACATATGTATTATCCTGAAGCACACAAGATATCACTCATATTGCAATATTGTTTTATTTAGTGCATGCGACGAGTGAAAAGATTATAAAAATGAAATAAAAGAAATAAAAAATAAAATTTAATAAAAGTGAAATAAAGATTAAAAATTAAAAATCTATAGAAAAATAAAGCCCTATGTTAAGAAGGTTTACTACACCTAAGAATATGTGTGACATGTTTTTTCACTTTTGTAGGTAAGCGTACGCGCACTGAAAATTTTATAAAAATTATAAAAATTGGTCAGCAATATTATGCTAGAATGAGAGCTACAAATAATTAAAAATTGCGATGACTGCAATTTTTCACGATTTTCGACGTTTACAATCAATAACTGTACAAAATCTGGAGATTTCTACATCTTTCATTCGCATTTCATTCGCTCATTTTGAAGTTATGATCATTAGGAACCTCATGCACAATTTTTACACTTTCGCTTTACTAATTAAAAATCTTGCGTTTGTTCGGCCCATTGGCTCGGCAGCCTCGCGTCAGCTGATCTCGCCTCTCATTGGTCCATGTTTTTCGGTAATAACTCGTAAATAAAGCCGCGGATTGCATTTTCGCTAAGGATTTCATTTCCCGATTGCGAGTGACTTTTTTGGGACACTCTATAGAACGATGTCATATGAAAATTTTAGATGCCCGAGGGGTTACTTTGTAACACTTTAAATATCTTCCTTTGACAGGGGCTAAAGTTATGCACCGCAGCGTATCACCAAGCACAAATTAGATATTCATGGTGATCGAGTCACGTTGTTTATGCAGTACAGCATTCTCTCCATAACTGTAAACACTTCGGATTTGCAAAATAACAGTTACAAAGTGTTGATGTCGATTTCCAATAGTTTACTTAGTTTACGATCTCAAAAATTCGTTTAATTTCTCATGAACTTCTGTAACTATAAATTTCATTAATCCATTCGATGCTCTGGCGGGAGCCATATTGTTTAATTTCTGGTATTTATGAAAAATTTGATTTACCATAACGTTTACATGATATACAGGATGTACCAAAAATCGTGGTACAACCGGCTGGATACCGATTCTGCATGCAAAAATAACATTTTTTCATTTAAGATTTTGTTTTCGAGAGAACTGGGAAAAAAACTACAAAAATAACGTTCATAATACTCTTTTCACATCCTTCTCACATTCTATTATGCATCTATAGATGTCTTGTAGATGTTATTTTCGAAAATTTTATCGATTAAATGTTCGTTCGTTGGTCGTTTTCCACTTTTTACGAAATCTTATGAAAAATAATGAAGCGATACACGCCGATTTTGATGTAACTTTGGGAAATGGTAGTTCTTAGAAAAAATATTCGACGCATATTTTTTTTTCAGCCCTCGCTCGCATCGAAGGCGTGGAAACGGCCCCCGAAGTTTGGGGTTTGATCCATATTTTTCTAGCTTTAATAGTTTCCGTCACATATTCGACCAAATATGGTTCCGACCCCAACTTTGGGAGTTGTTTTAGCACGCCTTCAATGCAAGCGAGGGGCGATAAAAGAAAATATGTGTCGGATATTTTTCTAAGAACTATCTTTATCAAAAGTTTCATCGTAATCGGCGCGTATCGCTCAGTACGTACCTTTGTTAGTACATAGTACACCACTCTTTACGATAATGCCAATCAGGGGATTAAATAATCATTTTAACGTTAGATTTACGGATGTTGATTATATATATGTACCTATTTTTACTGAAAATTTCTTGACTCGTACAACGAAATTGAAAACTTCTTGCAAAAATAATAATTGATAATAATAATTGAAATACCTTTTACAAATAAATATCGAAATTATTTTTGTTACAATGTAATAAAATATATTTATGTGCTTGTTACAGTTTCATAGAATTAACTTTGAACTAAATTAAAGAATTATACAGGGTGTCCCAGATTTTAATGTTGAAACTTCGTCAGTGTATTCTATGGCACAAAGTAAGAAAAAAATGTTATGTAAACATAGGTCATATAGAGCTTTATTAAGAAGTTATAACAAAAATTCAGAATAGGAATAGTAATCAACTAAAAAAAAAATAAAAAATAAAAAATGAATCTTCGATCGATGTCAATCATGTATTGTCAATAACGGTTATTAATACATTTCGAAATGTATTAATAAACACACGGCATGTGCTGATCTATTCAAGCCAATGCTTCACTATTCTAATGCAATCGCTATTCCTATTCTGAATTTTTGTTAGAACTTCTTAATAAAGCTCTATGTTTACATAACATCTTTTTCTTACTTCGTGCCATAGAATACACTAACAAAGTTTGAACATTAAAACCTGGGACACCCTGTGTATATCAGATTTTCATATTTATCTAATTTTCCGCAATTGTCCTAATACTTGAATGAGAGAAGGGATATACTTGTCTCTCCGCCGTCAAATAAATCCCGAAGTATTATTTCCTACGAACGAAAGTATTTTATTAACTATTTCCGATACTCTTTCAAATATTTTCATCAAGGTTTGACCGTAGAATCGCGGTTGAATGAACGGCCATTTATTTGATCGGTGAACCGTGACTAAAACGGCGACCGCACAATCGACGGGAACGATTTTCAATTGCGTCCCGCAAAGGATTGAGACCAGTAATGCGATTGAATCTCGTGGGATATATCCGGACCATCAAGAGGAGATTGACGCTGATCGCTGATAAACGTAATTGTATCGGTTCCCAGGGCGACCTCACCGAGGAGACGGCGGACACCAATAATCTCTACGTGAACCCGCTCGAGGCCGCGGAGAAGTGCGGAAATAGGGTGAAGAAGTCGGTTTCCGGCGAGGTGGCTCGCAACGCTCCCGACGCGTCGACAAGCGTCGAATCCTTGAAAGACATTCGCACCCTGAGCGAGGGCGGCAAGGTCACGCTGAACGACACGGTGCCTAAGCACAGGAAAATTCGTATTCAACAGGTGAGTGTCCGCCGGGTGCTCGACTAACTCGGTGTCACTCTGCGAGCTCTGCGTTCTCGCGTTTACCAGTGTTTTCAGTTCAGACGTTGTTCGAACCGCCGAAGGATACGGGACATAATGGTTCATTTTCTCTAACAGTTGGCCAAAATTCATCATTTTCTGAGATTGCTTTACGCTTTTGAGACTGTTGAAACGGAATATGTTATGAAATATGCGAAATATAAAACGGGAAATACTTTGATTAAGTATTGATTAAATATTTGTTGTCCAGCTTGGTAATAGAGGATATAAACAATATTTAAAATTATGTTTAATATTTTGGTAGCATCGAATTATATTTGATTGGGTAGTATATTGGTATAAAAATTAAGAAATCCCCTAACCAATGCTGTAATACGTTTTTCTCCTTCGCTCCATCTTCACAACACATATTTAATTCTTTCTGCTATTTGTTGAGTAACAAATGGAATTTGTTCAACTTAATACGTTGCTTTTTCTATTTTTATTATTAGCAATTAGGATATTAATTGGAAATTATATTATTATTTAATTATATTAAATAATAATATAATTATATTAATTATATTAAATAATAATATAATTATATTAAATAATAATATAATTATATTAATTATTATTTAATAATTATTAAATTATATTAATTATATTACTTAATTATATTATATTTCTTTTGGATATCTTACAATGGAATGTTTCCAAGTGTAACACGCCGATTTTTATGAGATTTTAGTACAAAACATGTCCGAATAGTTCTCTCCGTCAATAAGGTGTAATAATAATTGAACGGTTAGTAAGTATAAGCAAGTAAATTAATAGTATTAAAGTAATATAGTTAATGTAAACAATATTAATGACGGCAAAGTAGAAAATTTTAAAAGCACGTATCCCTTATTTTAATAAGATATTAGTTGCAATTTTATTAGTAGGTGCAATTTAAGATATTTTAATACGATTTAAAGATTTTGAAAATTGAATTTTGGCCAGCTATTTGTGAAAAAGAACCAGTGTGACTATGTTGCTTTCAGTGTCGGGAGAAAGGACTGTCACGAAGGTTCGCAGTTGTCCTGCAAAGCAGAGTATCTGGTCCTAAGCCTGGAAGCTTCGCGGCGAACAGTATTGTTATACCTAAAATAATCATCTTTTCCATTTCAAAAAAAATACCGAGCTGTACCATCACATGATTATTCAAAATATGACGAAGGTCTCTTACCTAATTAATTTTGTGCCTCTGAAAACACTTCAAAAAATGCTGAAAACTTTAAATTACGGTGGAACTTTGATTATCCGGGCTAAGCAAAATGACAGAAATGTTCATATAATGGAACAGTTATTTAGTGACAGCGACAGACACACATTCATTGATTTATACAGCAAATCGTTTTGCATACGAATTGCCTCAAATTGTGCTGATTACACACGACACGCCCTCGAATAATAAATAATTGCGATATTGGAGGATCGAATAATCGAGGTAGATAATAGATAATAATTTTTCAAAATGTAAAAATCAAAATTTCAATCTATGAACATCTTGTATTTGGGTCTGCAGTTTTCAAATTCAAATTTTTCGGGAACTAAATTAACGTTTGAATGAAAATATTAACAGAAAGGTGTTAATTTTTTTATGTATTTTCTTAACAAATGAATATATTTAAATAATGCGTAACATTGCAATTTGAGCTATCGCAAATATAGCTGTCACCCTAAACTTTGATGGTATATTCATCCCTTCAATATGAGAGACGCTCGCTAAAAAATAGTCTTCCTTTCTCAGAATCTAGTTGAATAATCTTAATTTAATCTCGTCTCGTTTCGTTATAATTTTTTCGGTTACAAAGGTATCGTGTAAATTTAACAATCAAAGGACAAATTGAATAATATTAATATTTTCCTCAACATAAGACTGAATAGTTTCGTCGCGTTCAACCGCATAGTTATGAAAGAAAAATGTAGTTGCCCCTCAAATTCTTTACTCTGCTTTGCCAGACGAAACATTGAAATCACAGATACAAGTTTCGTTAACATACATATCAAAAATTGAAATTAATATATAATCCGCAATTGTCGGTGATTTCAATTGAGATTCAACCCTTCCACGAGGGTGAATTGTTACGAATGATGAAATTGGTGCGAATGATTCTGCAGGGTGTCTCTAAAGCGCCTGGTTAAGTTATGGCAGCGTGTTTCATGGAATAAAATAGAAAGAAAACTATCGTATACAGTGTGTTTAAAAAAAAAAATTCAAACAAAGTAAATAATTTCTGTCCTCAAGCAAATCATTCATCGGTGGTAAGATTTTTGGTCCAGGTTTTCGCTCGAAATGAATCCTTATCTAGATTGTATTCATCTTTTTGCAAATCATAATAACCCATCCGCAGGTCTTATTCACCTTTTCGCAAACGAAAGTCACCCTATCGCAAATAAAATTCGCTTACTTATAATTATTTTTAATAAAATTCCGATTAAATATGAAAATTCAATGACACTTTATAAATAATTGTTGAAAGTTAACGAAGATTAATCTTTTGTAATGGAATTTGTATTATTTTGTAAATAAGCGATATAGTATTATATTACACTAATGAATTATGATATTATATTGTATAATATTTGTATAATATAAAATACAAGTTCACGTTTTTCAAAATTACATAAAAAAACGCGAATCCCTAAAAAGATTCATTTTGTGTGCAAAACCTTTTTAATACCATAACACGCTGTACAAAATTTTCTTTCGACAAGGTAGAAAATAAATACTTTGTCATAATTTAGTCAGAAAATTTCGAGATACCCACGGTGTATACACAAATCTGTATCATATACTTATAAACTTTTTGACTCGACAGGCTATTATGCATGATGAATATTGCGTTTATTGTTAACACTTCTCTGCCACTATTCGTGCCACCCGATCCTAAGTTCTGGCGATGAGGCGAGCGTACGGTTTTTCGGTACGGTAACAAAGCAAACGGATTTCAATCGCTTTCGATTTCATCGAATCGCAAAACAAGCACGCCATTCTAGAAATAATTTTACGAGTATGGAGCTTTTTTCGTAGAACTCCATCGCACGAATCGCACTTCCTTCGCCACTTTTTGTTCACTCCGATGATATTCGCGCGAAGAATGTATTCATTATTATGTGTTGTAGTTTCACATGGCGCGATAGCACGCACGAAACATTCCCATTGTGTTTGTCATTCCGTTTTTAGGTCAATAGGAACCGCAAATTTCGTGGCGCGATATTGCTTTCGTACTTGCTCGCAGGATTTCGCTCGACTATGGCAGATAGAAAATAAAATAATCTCTGCATGTTAGTCGAACGTCAGTTAGACATTCATCAATGTCGCCACAAAGTTTCACACGATCAGTTCATGTATTACTTCTGTTTTATAGCATTCCTAAAACTTGTTCCATTTTTCGACCGTCGAATTAAAAAGTCCCCGTGAAACATTTCAATTTTGACGTTCGAACGTTGTTTATAATAAACAATCAGCCAATGCAACGATGAAATTGACGACTCAGTAAATGATAATATATTTACGAAAATACAATAATGCATTCAGAAAATATTTATAACTGTTTCTTTCGTGAAATATACAACTAATGAAGAAGTAAAGATTGATAACAAATTCATGATTTCATCGTCTGATATTGTATCCTTTAGTATTTTGGCTCGATCGTCACGTAGACTACAGGAATGGGATCAAGTTTGATAAATAAATCAATTCAAGAAATATATAACAACAAGCGAGATTTTTGATGCGAGAATTGGATAAGATAGCAAAAATTAAAACAATTAATAATAATAATAACGTTATATTATGCTACTAGCAATCAGAGAAAAAGTTGCAAGGCATAAATAAGTACATAAAAATAAAAAAAATACAGTAGAGCCTTCCGTATCCGAACTCGCATTATCCGAACGTTCTATTCTTCGAACGAATTTTAATCATAAAATTTTAGTACGAAGCAAATTGTGTGCATCAACGAAACTGTGTAACAACGAAAGAAAAATGTTCGGTTCAAAGTTAGTATTAAAATAATACATCAAATAATTAAAATGCTCGAGAAAATGTTGAAAGTGCAACAAAATTAACAGGAATAAATGGGGTAAAAAAAACAGAAACTTACTATTGAAAATTATATATAATGTGTAGATTTCTCAGATCTTAACTTAATGAAGCCAAAATATCCAAAATTATGGACAATATCGCATTTCAGTTGTTTCGACACAACAAAGAGATAAAGACGAATACTAATTTTTGTATTTAAGATAGGCAAGAAAACTCCAGAGGTGAATAAAAAAGCGTAATCATCACAATTATTGACATTAAAACACATATATATGTGGTCTACCATCCAAAAAGATTTAGGAAAAATTTTCATTTTAAATATTTTTTATAAATTTAAATTAATTATAAATTGGATTATAAATTCATTATATATTTTTATACAAAATTAGTTATAATAGATTTATGTTATAAATTCGTTATATATTTTTATACAAAATCAGTTATAATAGATTTATGTTATAAATCTATTATATATTTTTATACAAAATCAGTTATAATAGATTTATGTTATAAATCTATTATATATTTTTATACAAAATTAGTTATAATAGATTTATCTTATAAATTTGGTTTCTATTTTTATAATACAAATATTCAGTATCAGTGTTCACACCTAAATACTGTATAAATTGCTAAATTATTTAAATACATGAAATCGAATACGAGAAAGGTGATTACTTTGTTGTCTGAAAATTCAGTTATCCGAACACTTTTGTCTTAATATTAGTTCGAATGTGGAAGGCTCTCCAACATATGAAAAGAATGCTTTAGACAGCCTTGTCGATTTTTCAGTTGCAACTCTTTGCTAAGCCAATAAGAAAGAAAAGAATAATAAACAGATGGTGGAAGCTGTGTAACAAAGGTACGAACGTCCATGCATATGAGGTGATAAATCTGATGAATG